ACACACACACACACACACACACACACTGCTGTACCACAGTAGCAGACAAAGTGAATGGTTAAACATTGAGATGCAGCAATAGTCCAACCTTTGATCTGCTGATGTTTTTAAAGACTGTACTCAGTGACTGGACAAAACAGTGATAAGGTACAGATGTCTTATATACTTCCCACAGTACACACACTGTTAGAGGGTAAAACTTTGATGTGCTGTTACAGGGCTCCTCTGCAGGCAGAACACTTCTGAAAGCAGTTTGAGCAGTGACCTTTCTGACTGCTCTCTTAAAAAAAAGAACTTCCCTTTTCATTGCATGTGTAAATCCAGCCTGGATTTAATTTGGGGGGAACAAATAAAACTTTCATATGCTAAATCTGCTCTTCTGATTGACTCTCTTGGGAGTATACGCATCAGTTTTTGTAATGTCTGTTTTCATATCAAACATCGATACAAACACACATATTTGTCTGTGGTAGTAAAAACGTAGCAAATGCGGGTTTCACTTTCTTTTCCTCGATTCCGAGTTTTGCTTTTGAAACACTGAACCAATTTCCCACTATAACTGATATAGTCAAGACTAAAATGCCGCCTGTCCCAGTGTGGTTGTGGTTTATTAACACCTGGCTATTTTTTTTAAACATTTAAAATGTGATCTGAAGAAAACCCTTTCTGGGGTTTCGTCCACATGGTCCTTCTGTAGCCAAAAGGTCACAGGGTTGAGTCATCAATGATCACATTATGTTCCTTTTTTTTTATCTCATATTTAAGACTGTCATCTTCAGTCATGGACTTTAACAGTCCTCTGTCTCATGCTTCTCTACTGATTTATTCAGAGTCGAGTGCAGCTGAGCTGGACCAATATAACTTACGCCTCTTACTCTTTCTGATGCTAGCAGAGTGGAGATGCCATAATAAGAGGCAGTCAATACAAAGGCAGATTATAATGATTTGCTAATCATGTGTACTCTATAACAAGTTATTCAGAAATGGGGATCATAACAGTTTTACTAATGGCACTAAACATGTGTGGTAAAATTATTTGTGATGTAAAAGGTCACTCCAGGGTTAGAGACTACATCAAGGAGGGGTGTAGCTAGAAAGGTCTAAAAAGTAAAGCCAACACAGAAGTGCCTTAAACCCGGATTCTTTTTAATGGCTGGCACAACTTCAATAGTAAGCTTTTACCCAGTGATAGTGCAGTGTCATTGGTTTCACAATTGCTTGCCACATGTGGTTTTAAAACACCACAGTCACAATGATGAAAATGCGTCACAGTGACACTTCACTTACTAGTTAATGGGTGATGTCATAGTTACTACTTGCTACTTAAAGAAATGACAAGAAAGCAGCTTGTCTAAGAGAGTTTGGGCTGTGTTGAAGAATAAAGGTTGTCTAGCCAAATAACGACAAACTCTGTTTTTGCCTCATATACTGTATTTCCATGTATCTTTGCATGTGTTTCAATAAATTGCTGCACGTATTTTCCATTTTCCCTGCAAAATATTTAGAATAAAGAGCAGCAGCTCAAGAATTTTACTGTAGTCTACATTCAAAGTGTAGAACATAATCCAGACTGAGAAAAACAGAAGGGATCAACACAGGGTTAGCATGACTTAAAAGCCTCAGAGCCACCAAGGCTAATCAAGATCTCTAAAGGTATTTTTAATTGCATGTTTCTGTGTAACTGCCCACTTCTTAATTAATTAAGAGTACACATTTGCTATTTCAGATCATTTAATCATATTCTGAATGTATCTGCTCTTTCTGATTGACAGACACAGAGCCGGGCCACATCCCTGGCTCCATCAGCATTCCTTTCCACGCCTTCCTGTCACCTTCTGGCCACTTCCTGCCAAAGGAAGAACTCCAGGCTCTGTTCGCCCGTGCTGGTGTGGATCTCGACCGCCCGCTTTGTGTCTTATGCGGCTCTGCAGTGACCGCGTGCCACGTGGCACTGGCGGCCCACGAGTGCGGGCACCCGGGGGTGTCGGTGTATGACGGTGGATGGTCGGAGTGGTACACCCGCGCCGTGCCCGAGCACGTCATATCAGATGGGAGAGGGAAACATTTGTGATAACAGGAAGGACCTGTGACCGATGGTTTTAGGCTGGATCACTTGCGCTGTTGTTGCTTTTGAAGTTTGGTCATCTGGGAATTGTGTGACTTCCTCCTGTGAAGCCACAGCCAGCAGCAGGTTAGCAAAATTTCCCAGAATGTCCAAAAAGCTCCTGTATTAATAATACACCACTGGGGATTTTTTTAAAATTGTTCATCTATTATATACTGATAGATGATTTGTGATTAAAGTCATCAATATGTGGACACTAAACTGAACTTCTTGTTGGCAGCTCATGGACTCAAAGACACCTACACTTTGTAATCTTGTCTAATCTTTGGTAAAATAAATATGAACATGTATAGCAGCACAGAAACAGAAAAAAAAACACAAAAAAGACAAAAAGAACAGACTACACTGTGAGACGCTCACAAAAAAACACAGTAAAAAAGAGACACTTGACACGTCGAACGAATAAAACCCAAAAAAAAGGAAGGTTTTTTGGTTGGTTTTGGTTTTTTTCCCCTTCCAAAGTCAGATATCCTGAGAAGTTTGTGTCTAAAGAAAAAATAAATTAATATATCATCATGGTTGCTACTGTCTCGTGTCATGTTACACATTGCCAATTACTGTACAGCATTTTAGAAGACTGTTTTTCTGTGGTGACTTAAAATGATTTCAGTGATGCAATGTTGATGCTAAAAATATTGCTTTTAATATAACAAGTAAATCACTTTTGCCATATACAATAATCATTTCTTGAGTAAAGTTCAGCATGAACAGATATAAAATAGTCTTGCACAATTAAAAGCTAAAGGAAACAAAAAGGTGGCATCAAAACCCACGTGTGACTATCACCAAGTACTTGTGACGTACTTGGTGATAGTCACACGTATTTCATTACAGGCTTTTTTCCACTGCATAGCAAAGGAGTTGCTGTACATAAGTTAAAATGTTAAAGCTGACCTGTGAAAAGGAAGTAAGACTCAAATGTCCTCTCTTCCTCTTTCGCATTAATAAAAGCCTTTTGCTTTTTCTGAGCAGTATAGTTGTACATGTGTCACCAAGAGGACATGTTCATTATTTGTGCTGTTGCAGTGTGGGAGTAGTCACCCTGTCCTGGCTCTTAACTGGTGAGTGTGCTGCTCTGATAAATGATTTCTGTTATCTTGCTGTGAACATGAGCTCCTTTGGGAAAGTTGTTGGTGATAACTTAGAACAGCAGTGAAGTCCCAAGATAATCTCTTGGTTTGTTTCTCTATTTTCTCTTGGTTTGTTTTTTATGTCATAAATAATTGTTTTTTTTTTACATTTTTATTTTATTTCAAAACACAACCTAAATTCTAGTTAGACTAAAAACAAAAATACTAATAAGAAGAAAAAGCTCGCTTGTTTTAACACTGATTATATTTTCAGGGCTTTAATGTGAAGTTATCTTTGTGAAGTTAATATTTATCCCTTTCCACTTTATAATGACCAACATTAAATGCCATTTGAGTTTGTGTTTCTAAAGCTTCCACTCGAGGGCAGCACTACACTAGAGTTTTAAACCTTGGCATTCAGCACTGTTGTATAATAAGAGCTCAGGTGAAACAGTCTGAACATTTAATCACGAGTATTTTTAATTAGTTTCTCTGAGCAGCTTTGCTGAGCACCTGCATCTACACACAGAGTTGTCTCAGGATTGTATCCACTTGAAAAATGTGTTACTTTGTATATAAAATGGCTTTAATTCTTAAATAGTTCTTGTTAAAGTGTTGCCGTAAACCTCACCCAAACAGTCGCAGCAGATGGCTGCCTCTCCCTGAATCTGGTTCTGCTGGAGGTTTCCTCCTGTTAAAAGGGAGCTTTTCCTTCTCACTGTCGACAAGTGCTTGCAATTTGGGGGTCATGTTATTGTTGGGGGCTTCGCTCTATCATTATAGTGGCCTTACATCACAATAAAAAGTGCTGTGAGGGAACTGTTATTTTGATTTGGCACTATATAAATAACATTGAACAGAATTGAAACTGACATTGTTAAAAAACTTGTGGAACAGTCAAACATTTACTCGTCAAACAGTAAATGAAGGTTTTTCTTCAAGAACACCTCCAACATTTTGACATTTATTAAGTATCTTTTGGTTATAGTTACATAATTAAATTCATATTACGATCATTTATTTGTCTATACATAACTATTAATGTACAGTTGGTGATCTTAACTTGGCTTTAATGTCCTTTATGAGTCTAATGGGCACCATAACTTGTATAAATCACGTTTTAAATAAATGTTGGAACTTGTCATTAAGACCCATCAGGAAAGTGTTTCCTCGGGTCTTTTTTCTTTAGAGTTCAAGGCTTTTTTGAAACTAGAGTCTTGAGATATTTCCATCTCTGGTTGGTCTCTTGCTGTTAGCTGTTTTCAGCATGCTACTGATGCTTAGAGAGATCTAATGTTCTGTTCGCAGCAGTGCAAAGGCAGACATCACAGACAGAAAAATAATATAAAAGATAAAGTTGTAAAAACACTTTATAAACTGTTCCTTTTTTCATCCGTCTCAGGAATGCATGATTTAGAAAGTAAAAAGATGACATAATCAAATTTTTTTTTCTTAAAATGTCAAGCATCATGGACAAATGACATTACATAGTGGTCAACAGTAGTTACAAAAGGTGCAATGAGCAATCAGCTAATACCCGCCACAAGATGTCACAACAGTACAAAATATTAGTATAATATTATACTATTATAATATTATACTACTATAATATTAGTTATAATATAGGCAATGTGCTAAGAAGTGAAGAGTGTGCTGAGAAGATTAAAGGAATACTTTAAGAAGCTAATGAATGTAAAAAATGAGAGCCAGAGAGGGACGGAAAGTGGATAGTTAGCCAATAAGGAAGTGCAGAGGATTAGTAGCAAGGAAGTGAGGCAGCTATAGAAGAGTGGAAAGGCAGTTAATCCAGATGATATACAGTGGAGGTATAGATGTGTCTAGGAGAGAGGGCAGTGGACTTTTTAACTAGATTGTTTAACACAATCCTGGAGATTGAGAGGACCCATGAGTAATGAAGAAGAAGTACACATCTTCTTCATTCCTTTCCAAGAACAAAGATGATGTGAAAAGCTGTAGCGGTATGGCTTCATGCTGTGAAAGAGCACTTCAGGTGTAATGTTTGCTTTAAGAGTGTTGCTGGGTGGGCACTGGTTTAGCATAGTTGGATGAGCAGGCGACCATGTGCTGCACGTCTCCCCCTCTGTCTCTTTTTGCATTCCTGTCAGTCTTCACTGTCTCCATCTAATAAAGCCAGAAAAAGGCCAAAAAATATATTTTTTAAAAAGTGTTGCTGGAACGTCAAAAGGGGTTGCAGTGTCTTCATGGATCCAGAGAAAACATATGATAGGGCGCCTGAGGTAGCGTGTTAGGAAATCAGAAGTGTATGTGAGTGTGGCGCAAGACATGCAGGACGCCAGCGAGACAGTGGGTTAAATGTGTGGTAGAAGTGACAGATGAGTTCAAGGTGGGGATGGGATTACATCAGGGTCTGACTTTGAGTCCTTTCCTGTTTTTGATGGTGATGGACAGCCTGACAGGTGAAGTCAGGCAAGGGTCTACGTGGACTAACGATGCTTACAGATGCTATTTTGCAGTGGCGAGAAGGTAGCAGAGAGCCTGGACATGTGGAGGTTTGCACCGGAGAATAGAGGAATGAAAGTCAGTAGAAGATAGAATACATGAGTGAGAATGAGAGGGATACAGGTGGAACGGTAAACAGAGGTGGTGAAGGTGGAGTCAAACATCCAAAGCCTCATATAGTAGACAACAGAGGTGAAGAAGAGAGTGCAGCGGGTGGAGATGAGGGTCAAGGTTGATGTGTGACAAGAGTGAATGCAAAGATTTCCAGTGTGGTGGTGAAACCTGCTATGATGTATGGTTTGGAGACGGTGGCACTGACAAAAAGCAGGAGGCTGACATGGAGGTGGAAGATGTTTTACTAAGAGTGACCAGGATGGACAGAATTGAAAATGAGTACATGAGAGGTATAGCTCATGTTGAAAATCATTTTTGGAGGGGTTAAGGGTTTCAGGATATTCAACCCCTCATGAACAAAATGTATTGCCTAAACGTCTTATACGTGTCTGGCCAGGTTCTAGTAAGTTATGCACAAGTTGGCTTCTTGTATATCCTGTGTGCTGTGGCTTAAAAGCCCCCCTAATCGTGAGACTGGCCTACTTTTTGGTTATCTGCTTGTATGTGCCTGACGTGTCACAGCACATGATTAATATTTGTTTTGGTGTCTGTGTTAAAATATTGTCTTTAACGCTTTCTCACCTGTGAGGCCCAGTTCAGTCAGATGTAGGCTGTCTATTTCTATCTGCTGTGTGCAGCTGGATGTGGTACTTGCAACGGTGGCATATTAAAAAAAAATACGACACTCTAGCACACGTGCACACTTCAGCACCTCTAATTTCAAGTCCTTTCCCAAACTGATAGCATTTCACCAGCAGTGGATAGTTGTTTATTAACTGGGCACAGTCACTTTTTTGTAGTATAGACTGTTCTGCCACTTATATCGTGCCTCCAGGAAACTGCAGTGGGATGATTGCCGTGTGAGTGCATGCACACGAGAACAAAACTACATTTAGGACAGTGATGTGTTGTATTACTCAGTAACAAGTAAATGCATTGTGATTACAGGAACACCAACACTGCTTTTTACCCACAGAAAAACCAGGTGGGATGACAAATAGAGGTTTTCGCACTTTAATTAAATTAACCAATAAGCTTATTTAGTAAGCCAGCTGTTTCTCCCATTCTCAGCCTTTCTCACTTGCTAAGCTAACCTTCATATTTCTTATGTAAACATATGAGATATCAAACTTTCCATCAAACTCTCAGTAAGAAAGCACATTTCCCAACTAATCATTTAACCTGGCCCTAAAAAGAGTTGACTCTGAATTTCAGTTAGCAAAGCAAACAAAACAGAGGCATGAAATTATAGTTTCTGCACTAGCATACTACTTTTACTTCTTACCAAGTCATAGTAACATGCCTTTTTTTTTTTTTTTATTTTTTTTTACACATAATAGAAACTCAGTGCAGAGGGAACAGAAAGTGTTTATGCGAACATAGAAAAAGGGGTTTTCACCATGTTTCACATTTCTTGACACGCTGATTGAATGTCACCGAGTTACAACCCCAAGGGAAACCACAGCACCGCAGCCTCTTCTTTTCTCAGAAAATTTTCCAATACGTCACTAGACGCAAGACGGCAAAACTTTAGTCAAAGAAATGTTTAGAGTACACGGCCTGAATAACCCTACAGACATGGAAATGACAGCACGCTGAACAACTCTGGAACGGTAAGGTCAATTTTTAC